ATTGCCTTAGTTATTTTCCATGTTTCCGACTCATAAAACAGGACTGATTTGACATTAGAACTAAAGATTTTAAGTTTAGTATTATTTAATACTAATTGAACTTTCTGCTGTAGTTCACAGCCACAACAAGAAATTGGGATTTTTTTGGGTACGTTTTTTCTTTTTTAATGTATTATTTGTTGCTCACCTCACAAAGTTTTATTTGCAAAATCTTTCATTTTCCCTTGTCTCCCTTTGCTTTTATGTTTCTATATAAGATTAATTTATTTATTTCACAATTTCTGTTTTCATACCATTTACATTTTATTGGTCTTTTCCTTACCTTTCTTAGTCCAAGAAAATTATACTGATAAAATAAGCAAAAGGCAAAGTTCGCACATATATATTGCAAAGTTATCCACAGTTATGTGAACTTATGGCAGTCTTTGATCCACGTGACCGTTAAAAAAAAGGAAGACATTTAATATAATTTATAAAAGCGTGAATGTAATTTAAAAAAAAAATAGTGGTACAACAGGTACTATTGGCATACTAACTCTTAATTGGCTACTGAACAAGGAGAGGGAGCACATGTGGGAATATCCCGAGTGCAGGGATGTCAATACTTGAGTGATTGATTCATTAATTATAATTATATAGACAATTTTTTTTTTCTAAAGCAAAAATCCATTAATGACAAGTAAGCTTTATGTATATAATAATTAGCAGAATATTTAAAAGCATAAATGTCAACTGACAACTTAGAATACTGTTATGGCATTAATATCAAAGAATTAAAAAAAAAAAAATGAATTATAAATAGTTAAACAATCACAATATAGCTTCAAGTGTACAGGAAGCAAACTATAAACCAATTTTATGGCTGTGTTATAGACAAAAACTTAGTGACCTATGCAAATTATTCAATTAACAAACCCACCAAAAAAAAAATGTAATTTGAATGAAAGACAAGTGAAAATTCTTTATGTTAACATTAAGACATGATATGCTTTATCAGCATATACATTTGACAATTTAATGAAACAGGAAAAAATCTCTACTTCAATTTAGGTGAAGATGAGTTCAGGTGAAAGAGTTTTTCTGTGTTCACCCTCAGAAGGGTGGTGACATGTATTGTGGTTTACAGCTAGCACTTGCCTGTTGCGGAAAGGGGGGGGGGGCTATTATTATAGGAACCAATACTAGGATTTTATTTATTTTGTTAGAGCGTGTTTACAGCTCAATTGTGATGATTCAATACAACTGATTTATTGGATTTTCTTACCATCCATACATAGGTTTTATCTGCACTTTTTAGCCCAATGAATATTATTTCAGCGAATTCCTAATCAGTCAACCTCACATGGTATGCCTGTTAGGGCACAGTGCATTAATCCTCCCGCTCCCTGAAAATGGGGCCCTGAAATAACCATGGGGATAGGAAACATGCTGAAGGCAAGTGTGCTAGAAGATGTGAGATTATAGAGAAACAACCGACCCCGCTGCTTCGAGATACCAGCTAAGTGATTTTGTGTTTCTGTACAGTATTGTTTTATTAGTATGTGCTGATGAAGGCTCAATAGCCGTAACGTTCATGTTTTGTTCGTATTTGTTATATTGTGAAGCTTGCTTATATACTTTTCGTTAGGTTTTATTACTTTTCTTGCTAGAAGATGTGAATGGAAAAAAATTAGGTAGACAGCATAAAGAAATGGCCAGAATACAACAGAATGGGGAGTGTGTTGATTTGTTGGGCCAAGCATGTGTAAGTATGAGTGTATGTATGTTTATGTATGAGTCTATTCATGTGTATTTATGAATGTGTCTGTTTGTATGTCTGAGTGTACAGGATAGAACGGAATGGAGGAATAGACTGTGAGCCCTATGTGACATATAATGAAACAACAGGATAATGAATGAGTTTGTATGCATGTTTTTGTTCTTTATGAATGTGTGAGAGCATTGTGTGTATGAAAGTGTGTATATGAATGGGGTGTGTGCGTGATGTGTATGGGTATATGTATTTGTGTGCATAAGTGTGTATACATGTATGCGTGCATGTGTATGTGCATGAGCGCACATGTGTCTGTATGTTTGTATGTATACATGTACGCATGTTTGGTATTATTATATATTTAAATGTATGCATCAACCATCCATGTGTTTGTGTACCTCACTTGACACTCACGGAATGTATACTGTAATATGAACACAGCGTGCTTTTTAATGATAAATTACAACTGCAGAAGGAAAAAGATGAAAGATGAGTGTTTGGAAGAGCTGAATGTAAGACACGTCTGCCCGCCCAATTTGTGACCCTCTGAAAATAAAGTCTGTTCATACATCTCCCACCGGGTGCCCCACAACAGACATATGAAGGACTGATTTCCCATCACTGGCATATCAAGCATATGGGGCCAGATCAATATTTGTATTACTGCCCAGTCTGCACTCAATGGGTGATGTGGAGACCATCACACTCTCTACCTTTATTTACTAGGACATTTCCATTTTAAGGTTGGGCTGACCTAGGAGAGCCCAGTCATGCAGCAGGTTCTCTTTCTCTATTTTTTTCTTTCAACATTTAAAATAACATCATCATCATCATGTAACTTGTCGTTTGCAGAATGCTGCTGTCATCGGAGTCTGCCTGAAAGATACTCGGTCTCTCCAGTTCTTTTGTGATGTGCACTTTCATATACAAGCAGTCACTTATATTCTGTGCTCATCGACACACTGGTAAACACCTGTCCCTCTTTCCTAGTACCATGCCTTCCGCTATTATTTGTCTCCAGTGGTTCCGAGATAAGATGCTGTTGATCGTCAATCTTTCTTGATGTTCAGACCTTTTAGAATGTCAGTTTTTCTTGTCTTATTTGTTCCTGATATTCTGATAATTTTTCTGTTTTTAATTAACAACTAATGCTAAACTTTAGCACTATCCCTAGGTTTGGCAGTAGATTCTCAAGTCATAAAATTACAGTGAAAAACCACTGGTGATTATCTTTTAAAGAGGATTTATCCACAGTGGATGCCAGATTTCCTAAGAAAGAATTATGCAGTTGCTTCAACTCATAGGAAATATTAAATAACATGTCCTACATTTCTTACGGCTGAAAGTTGTTTCAACATATTTGCTGCAAAAACATAAAATTCATTGGGTGTAAACAATTGCACATAATATGTTAATAGTATACAGATGTAAAAAATAAAAGTATTGCACAGTGGATGTAAAAATAATACAAATATGTAAATATCATACAATATATGTATATGGCCATAATTTACAGTAATGTGAATCAAGAGATGAGGAAAGGATACAGCTGCTAGACTGGACATAAAACTGGCCAGATGTAGTACTAGAAAAATTCTTCTACAAGATAAAAGAAATGGGAATTACATAGTTTTGGAAATTAAGAGGCAGAAATGAACAATAAGACACAAATTACCAAGGAATAATAACAGGGCTTAGTATGAGATGGATAAGAGTAAATGCTCCATCACATGAAATAAAAATGTCAAGACACTAATGAAAAAAGAAAAAGGAAAACAAAAACAAGATGTAATGTAACAGCCAGACGCTCGCCTGAGGATCCAAAGGTCACAGGTTTCAGGTGCTAATGGAGCCTATTTAAAAAAAAATGACCCTGACTCCCAAGCTGACCAGCCAGCCCTAAATGGGTACCAGGGGAAGTCCTGAGAAGTAAAGGCAGCTGGCATGATGTTGACCACATCACCCACTGAGTGCCGACCGGTCTATAAAATATAGGTCTAGCCCTATATACCCAATATGCCTGAAAGTGTGGAAAAGGGTCCTTTAAGTACAAGTAGTAACATAATCACTCATCTTTGCCATTCCCCCCAAAAAATGGAATTTACAACAATGTCAAAATTAAAGGACTATAAGTCTCATCAGTCATCCCAGTAAAGTCATGCTCAAGATACTCCTAAACAGATTAAAGCCACATGTAGAAAAGATATTAGCACAGGAACAGGCAACTATGAACCTCTTTTAACTTCAGTGAGAAGGCGAAATATGCAATGGTATGGACATGTAATAAGATCTAACAGCCTCTCAAAAAACAGTACTGCAGGGCTCAGGCTCAGTAGAGGAAAGAGTAGAAGAGGCAGACCAAGAAAGACCTGGTTACAGAACCTGACTGACTGGACAGGCCTCAGGCATGCAACCAGTGAAGCCCATCGCAACTGACCGCAAAAGGTGGAGAGAGCTGATCAGACGGTCAGCAGAAACTGGTGACCCAAACACATAGTGTTACTGGATGATGATGATGAGTAACACAAGGTGAACGCTGTAAACTTATCAGAACAATGATATGTAGACAGACTGTGTTTGTGGACATGTCATGGGAAGGAATGGACTCGATAACTTGGTAACAACTGGCAAGACTGACCGAAAGAGGAAGAGGAAGGCAAAGAGATAAATACCAGGCTGGCTTAGCCACATGGATGGGGAAGAGACGATAACACTGTGATTCTTGTGATCATGCAAGATGACAAAACATGCCGGCCTAAACTTACTGGCACAGCATATGAAGATCATGATGAACAGTAGAAGTAAACTGATACATTACATTATATTGTATATTAACATCTACGTGACATCTAACTATATCCTGGAAATGTCTCTTCAGTGTGAAAAAACAACAACACAATCTTCATCATGTATATTTAAAAATAAAATAAAAATTAAAAAATTAGTTAGTTGCGTATTCTTCACAGGACGTTGCAGAACAAACCCCAGCATTTTTTTTTTGGCTGCTGTGGCTTTTCTAGGCAAATTTTATGTTCAGTAGTTTGCCAGTGCTTTCTGAATGATCAGGTCTCGGTACCACTGTTAAATTTAATGCAAGACAAATCGTCCACAGCTAGGATCAAACCCGGCATTATGAAGCACGTTCACAATGCCTAAGCCACAAATGCCAACATGTATATCAAGTACACAAAAATACTATATATTTCACATAAAACATTATTCAGTGTTACGTCAAATGCCTGCTTCACTAATGCCAGTTTACTTGAGTAAAATCTCCCGTATGTACCCGCTGGCGGGGACGATCACCAAATATGTAGCGATCTCGTTCTTGTATGCTCTCTGATAATGCTTGCATATTTTTGGGAATATCATCAAATTCAGCTGATTCCTGCAATAAACAAAAATGACTGCCATTAACAAAAACAAACAACAAAAAAAGAAAGATCATTATTCCCTGTATTTACATCTTTTGCGGTGTAAAAAAAAAAGGGGGGGGGGGGAATAAAGCCTGAAAATCCAGGGCAGCTTGGCCAGTGCAGTCACCACAGATCAAGCAGGTCAGAATTATTTGTCAAAAAAAAGGAGGTTCGAGTTCCAGCATAGAAAGATTCTTCTTCTTTCGTTCGCTTGAAATTAATTATCTACATCTGCAATTTTGTCTTTAGTATGAACTTCACTGTCTTTTGTAATTCACTCAGCGACCCTAAAGTTTGACTTGCACCGCTGTTTCTCTTGGCCAAAAGTTTTGCCTTGATATGTTGTATTTGGGACAGTCTTGGAGGACATGATCAGAAAGATCATTGAGATAATACGTACTTGCTAGGCTTCTGGATGCCCCATGTGGTCGTCAGGCCACAAGTTGAATAGCCTTGCTTTACTGCACAGAGCAATCAGTACTGAACCTATATCCTTACAAACTAATCGGCACCCATATGGTAAGGTTGTCAACGTCATGTCGACCAACTTTTACTCCCCAGGACATTATTTAGAACCTGTTTTAGGATGGGCCATCGTCAACCTGAGAACAAGACAGAGATTTTGAAAATGTGCAGAAATAGAAATCTATGACAGAAAACTGGAGCCCTTATAGAGACAAAAGTGCGCAATGAAGGTGATTTTCTACACATCAAACCAAATTATTTAGCACATAGAATTTACTAACCTCAAAATCATTATCAATATAGGAAATGTTTCTGAGATTCCGAAAATGTGCAGGAACAGAAATTGGCATGGAGGTTGACATGGCTGCCATGTTATGCTCATTTTCAGGCTCATCTGTGGTGTCGAGAGTAAATGCCTGTAGCTTTCCAAACTTCTTCACGTATGATTCTTTTAGCTTCCCTGGCCTTTTTTTCTCTAAAATGAAAAAATTGAAGAAATGATAAAACTGAGATAATAACATTAGGAAAAAATAATTAATGTTTATGCCTATTAGAAGACTCTTGCGTCCGGATCGGAAGGTCGTGGGTTCGCTCACTGGCTGAGCCGAACTCTTATAAAAAATGACCTAGATTCCCAGGTTTACCCAACCTTGAGTGGGTACCAGGTGCAGTCCCGGGAAGTAAAGGTGGCCGGCATGATGCTGACCACATCACCTATCTTGTGCAGATTGGTCTATAAAATAGGTCTAGCCCTATATCCCCTATACATCTAAAGGTGTAGAGAAGGGACCTTTACTTTACTTACTTCTATGCCTATTAGAAATTAATTTTTGTATTCACAAATGTGATCTCTAACCCCTTCGCCATAAGAAGCCTCAAAACGAACCCTTTCAGGTTAGTCCAATTTACCGTAAATGTCACTTTTCCGACTTGCCTATCATGACCTCTTTATGAGATGTATAGTTCATGCAATTAGCAGAGTTTGTACCTGTACAAATGTTTTTTTTTTAGCAAGTCAAAATATTAAAACATCAACTGAAAACAGCATTAAGAGTGGTTTTCCTTTGGGCTAAATGGTTTTTTTAAAGCCTAGGTGCTGTCAGATTTTCTCATAAGTCTCAATGATAAAGGTCACAGAGTCATAGCATGAGTTACCCAATATGATTGTTTTAGGCCCCATTGGATGTATTCAATTTCATGTTTCACCCTGTTCATGTTTATTGATTACTACTTTTGTATATCTTTATATATTTGAATAAATAATTTAAAAAAAAAAAATTATGACGAATTTATTGGTGACCTGTATAACAATTGTTGTGGTTTTATGGATTTTTTGAGGATGTCTAACAGGATCATGACTTATTATTTTTCTAAAGAGTTTGCAGGGCTAAAAAGTTAAAAATGTACAAATTAATTCATTTAAGCATCTACAAATTTGTGTAACAGAAACAGAAAATGTTAGCTCCTACAGCTTAGTAAGTACCTAAATAAAGGATGGTTTTCATGCTATCAGGTCACTGGGTACTAGACCATATTTGTAAAGATTGATCGGCCTTTAATGGGTGATGTGGTCAACACCCCACCAGTTACCTTTATTCCCATATTAGGTTGGATCAACCTTATAGCCACGGTCAATTATAAAAATGCACATTGATGCAGACGGGAACCTAGCCACTGTGCTACATTAATTCATTGTACTGTTGTGTCAATATAGGTCACACAGGGCTTGCAGTCTATTTTGCCATCCCATACTATCCTGCTCAATCACTTTGATACAATAGATGGAATTTGCTCCAGCATCTTTGGCTTCTCACATCAACATGCACCTTAAGATTTCTCTCAGACATCTAATTTCCTCAATTCCTCCATTTCCCATGTGCTGTGCTACAACTGCACGCTGAAGTACCAGTGAAAGAAATTAAAAAACAAAACAGGCATAGATCTGTCAGGACCTGTCAAAGTACTTCACTCTAGTTTTCTTCCCTGTGTGGGGTTCTGGGATCCCACTGGGTGTGGGGGATAGACCTACTGCTCTCTAACCAGCATGTAAAATATAAAGAACCAGGGCTGTTTCCTCTGAAGTCAGGGTGCCTAAGCCGACAGGCAGGAAACCAACAGTCTGCAGATAAACAAGTCAGATCTGTAAAATAAATGTGCATGCAAAACTAAAGTTATGGAACAAGATTAAAGACCAGAAGTGGACGATCAACCAGAAATTTCTACCAGAGTTTACACCCAGTGAATGCTAAGAAGAAGGCGAAGACTAGCTTTTCTGTGTTAAAGCAGCATAAGGTAAAGCCAAAAACAGTAAAAAAAAACTGCCAGTTACTACCTTTATTTTACCACTTTTGCTGTGTAGGCAGGCGGGTCTTTGAGTCTGAGGATTTACGGCCGCATGACTAGTGCTTTCACCACGACTGTGCAGGTGAGGATTTTATTTTGCCCCCAATAGAAAAAAAAATCCCCTGCCCTACTGAGAGCCCAGCATTCTAATTGTTCGGCCAGTCGCTCCTCAGCCAAGAACAGTAACACAGTAAACTTTTAAGCATGCTGTAAGACGCGACTAAAGGCTGAACTGGGCTTGAGAATTATTATTCCATCTTATACAAAAATGTCACCTGTAAAAGTAAAAAAAAAAAAAAAAGTTTAAACACATCACTGTACAAGTTCATCGAGGACACACATTTCCCTGGGCGATAAAGAGCGGAAACATTATTTAAATATTACTAATAAAATAAAGACATTTAATATCAGAAAGATAGCATGCATGAGAGGCCAAGAACCACGGAACCAGACCATAACGGCAACCCAGGGTCTGCTGGGAAGACAACATCAGACACTCACAAAGGACTGGAATATGAAGCCAAAAAAGAGAGTGCTGATAGAGATGTCTGGCGATCTCTCTGGCAAACCTCTATACCCCAAGGTAGAGGAGCAGTGACTAAGTAAGTAAGTAATATCAGAATGAAGATTCACTTGCTAAAGTTATTTTTGTGAGTTAATCAATAACTGACAACTTACCAGATGTCCTTACTGCGTCTTTACTCTCAAAGTCTTCATCCATCTCATCATTATCAATTCCATCCATGACAAAAACTAGAGAATATAAAAAAATTATGTTATACGCAAAGATACCAATGTAAATCTTTACTGCATTGTTAAGAACATTTAGAATAAATTGGGGAGAAAAATAGTATACATATGTAAGAATGAAATATACTCATGCCTCATTTTAAAAGATAAAAGGGTGGGGATATCTGTCCAATATTTTTGATTATTTGTGCTTAACAAAATGGGGTCTGCAGTGGCTAATATAAATAATTACATTACAAAATGTAAATTAAAATATTAAACATATTCAATCTAAACATACTGTAGCTGTAAATATAATAATTGAAATTTTTGAAAATTCGGGATCCATATAAAAATGTTGCTAGAACTCCATGGCATACATTTTAATCATTCAAAATGACAAAACTAAACTGCCTGCTGCACAGATTTCATGTGTTGCTTCTGCCAGCCATTATATGAGGGTCTGCAAAACTGAAGAAAGAGTGTACAATGATACATCATTATGTAGCAGATCTTCCACATTGTAACAGAATCCCTACCCAAATTGCGTTTTGTTGTTGGACGATCCAAACAACAGGCCCTATCATGTCCTTCACCATTGTTTTGGAACATTTGGACTAAGCTTAGTGACCGACCCAAAAGTATATGGAGTCCTTGGCCTGACCTTCTAGAGACTACCAATAGTTTGGCTAAACATCATGTGACCCTTCCTTAAAGTACTCCAAAATAAAATGTTTTTAACATTTTTGGAATTATTACCCTAAACCCATATTTTAGAAATGCAGTAGTAGTTTGCAAAACACACTGCTGGAAAGTTCTAGAAGTGGGCTAGTGGCACCTATATAAGTGACTGCCGGGACCCCATAAGAGGAGAGAGAAGGACACCGGCCAGTAGACCAAGAGAGAGGGCAGGTCAGAGTAGTGGGCAAAAGACTTAACGCCCATAGTCAAACTTTAAATGCATAATTGATATTTTTGTTTCTACACGTAGCTGTAGCGCAGTAGTAACAGTTGTGTTTTTTTTTTGCTCTTGTAAAATTTAAAAGTTTAAATAAAATAATCTTTGTACCATCAAAAAGAGTCAATGATTTCCATCACCATATACCTCAGAAGACGTAGTGTAGGCTATGATATGATGGTAGTGATGACGGATGAAAGAGGACAAGAAGAAGTACACCGTCTCCGTCGAGTCCACTTTGCCCTTGTTGTCCAACCCCCACTGGAACCCGGGCTGGAGGAGGATTCAGGGGTGGACACTGATGGAGGGAGCAGTGAGGAAGAAGAAGAAGCTCATTAGCAAAAGAAAGCTGTGTGTGTGTCTAAGTTACCAAATGACTGTGTTTGTACAGCGGTGGAACTACGCAGGAGAAAAAGACAACGTAGATACTGTTTCAACATAATGATGATCCAATCATGGTCCACTGGAAAACCTAGTTGCCATGAATATCTATCAGAATTATTCTCAGGACTGCTTACATGGTGGGTTAATATTTGTATTGCCTGGTTGGCCACTGAGCTTGCATTAATGCAGGCTCACATTTCAAACATGTTGCTTACAGCTGGTACTGTCAAAACTTGCAGAATTAAAAGTTAAGACTGCACATTAAAACTGCATTCTACTAGATATTTAAAGTTTTTCTGTAAGCATTAATTACACTGCTTATATGGATGCCACACCACAAAAGTCGATCAAAATGTTTTGAGAGAGGCTAAGATGGAGCTGAAACACAGACAGCAGCTAAAATAATTAATAAAGAACTACACCCATTTATCAATTGGTGCCTGGTCAGAACAGAGGGATTTAAATGGTATGACAGAATCACAATTTATAAGATAACATATGATACCACAACATCCAGCTTAAGACTGGAGGTTTAGGTGGTCACTGCAGCTTTCCACTGTTTAGAGAACATAATACACACACATATTGTGATTGTAGCTGACTCAGAAGGCATGCTGAGAAATGCGAGGACAGGCAAGCTTTGTGCAGAGTGGCATGCTTCCCATCTTCAAGGGTAAAAAGCACCGTCTGGATCTTTTCTTCAGGATATGCCAGTGTGTAGGAAAATGAACAGGCGAACAGACTGACTGGCTCTGCTTAACTTGGTGGAATACTGATGCATGACAAGGCAGACATGGGTAAGGCCTTATGGAAGCATGTGTACAATTTGGAACAGCAAACTGACCATCACAGTCTGGTGAGATTGATGCTGCAAGGAGTAACAAGGGGATATGACCAATAATCAATGCTGGGAGGAAAGCCAAGACGAACATATCATCTGACTGCTACCAGCACCATTCCTATTGGACTCTGTATTGGCTGCTGAAGATGGGGACAAAGCATTTATAGGAATGCACCGAGTGCTGTGATGTCGGTTCTTGAATCACATCAAATTATAGAATCACAATGCTGAGCTTTGGGAGACAACTAAACAAATAACAGTGAACAAAGAGGTGAGGAAATGACACTGACAATGAATAGGACGCACTCTGAGAAAACCTGAAAACTATATAACTAGAATATCTTTGCACTTGAATCCACAGAGTCAAAGAAATAAAGAGACACTCACATATAAATAAAAACATGGAGAAGGAAACTAAACAGTGAAATTAAAAGGATGGGGAGGACGAGGGGTGAGCTGCACACAACAATAAAGGATAAGATGGCTTGAGCTGGACGAGGGTCTATGCTCCACTGGGGGATAAAGGGTAGAAGAAGAAAAGGAAGAAAAACAAGAGATGGAGTGGGAAGAGGAAAAATAAGAAGATGAAGATATAAAGACAAATCACAGGTCGGAAAGAATAAGTCAAGATATTCTGGCTTCATTATGGAAAAACTAAGGGAACAAAAGAGATTATTCTTTACGCTGTGGTATGAAAACATTTCAACACATGGATTAGTAACCTGTTGGAAATTCTGTGACATGGTTACCTACAAAACTGGAAAAGATACTTGATGATGAAAAACAAATTAAGGAAAAAATAATCATTCTATGATTACCTGCTGTTGTTATCGGTCTAAAAGAATTACAAAATTCTATACAAACCATCTGGACTTGAATCTCGTCTCCGTCTGCTTTGTTTTTTCCTCTGATTGTGTGCGCTTTCTTCATCCTCACATTCGTTTGCACTCCTGGAATGGCTCAGAAGAGCTGCAATAGTGAAAGTCATGCTATTTACATTACAAGAACCATTACTGATTACAGATTTATTAATCAACTGGGTTTACCCACAGACGCTTCATCTTCCGCAGCAAATCTCTTACAGTGTAGATGTTGACTGTCCAGTAGCATACTGGTTGTACATGCCAGATTGTTCCTCTCACATGTTATACTGTTCCTCTCACATGTTATATGGTTCCTCTCACATGTAATATGGTTCCTCTCACATGTCATATTGTTCCTCTCACATGTCATATTGTTCCTCTCACATGTTATATGGTTCCTCTTACATGTTATATGGTTCCTCTCACATGTCATATTGTTCCTCTTACATGTTATATGGTTCCTCTCAATTATTATATGGTTCCTCTCACATGTTATATGGTTCCTCTCACATGTCATATTGTTCCTCTCACGTCATATTGTTCCTCTCAATTATTATATGGTTCCTCTCACATGTTATATGGTTCCTCTCACATGTTATATGGTTTCTCTCACATGTCATATTGTTCCTTTCACGTCATATTGTTCCTCTCAATTATGATATGGTTCCTCTCACATGTTATATGGTTCCTCTCACATGTCATATGGTTCCTCTCACATGTTATATGGTTCCTCTCACATGTCATATGGTTCCTCTCACATGTTATATGGTTCCTCTTACATGTCATATTGTTCCTCTCAATTATTATATGGTTCCTCTCACATGTCATTTCTTGTGGTGTCAACCTTTAATTCAAAATTCATGCAACCATACTAGTATTGTTTAGTCTAATATCGCAGCTTCCAGTCCATCAGCGTTCATTCATAAATGTTCTTCTTCTTCGTCGTCACTTCCCCTTTTACTTAGTTTGTTATTGTGACGGCCCTTTGGGAGTGAGTGAACGCAGATAGATCATTACAATTTAAGGAGAATGGCGCTGCAAGGAGTTACTAGGGGATCTGGCTGACGCTCAACACTCAAAGGAAGGATGAGACAGATATACAATCAAATGGTTACTGGCACCATCAGAATTGGAACCTTTCGATTTCTGCTGAAGATGGGAACTGAGCACTTATGGTAGTGTCCTGAGTGCTGTGATGCCAAATATTAATTCAACATTCCTTTTTTTTTTACTGTTCTGGATGTAAAGGGAGATATGACATTTTGCTTCTTGCTTTTCTGACCATCTTAAACACAGGCAAACTGTGCTGTTGTAGAGTGTCTCTGATGTTATCTTTCCATTTGTTCTTGGTCTACCTCATGCTCTGCATCCCTATCCTATTTTGGTGTATGTCTTGTAGGGTATGATGTCACAAGGCGTTCTCTCTAAGCAAAGATTAGCTGTCTTTGTATGTAATTTAGAATTGGTTCTGTGCTGACTTTACTCTTATCACATAATTTCTGATTTTCCCCGTGTGGGTTCTGGAACCCCATTATGGAAAAAACAAAAATAGACCCACTGCCTACCCAAAAGCATATCGTAAGAGTCAATTAACTCGGGAGCTTACTTTGAAGTCGGAGTGCGTCTGCTTGAGAGGCAAGGAACCAACAGTCTGCATTCAAGTGAATGTAAAACTGATACACACACAACACTCAGGTTCTGGAGCAGGACTGCAGTTCAGGGTGGACGAACAACCAGAACTTTCCACCAGTGTGTACAGCTAGTGAACACGAAGAAGATTTCTTTTTTGATCTCTTCTTGTTACTTTTACAGCCCTTCTCAGAATGACTGCCTTGTCCAAAACCAGTTTTTCTACTGCTGCAACCAGAACCATTAAAAAGTATATGGTGCTGAGTGGTCTCGAGGTATGGTCTCTGCCTCCAGTGTTGGGTAATAAGATCAGACGCCTGTGTGCATTCTTGCGCACGTTAAAAAACCCATGGTAGTTGGAAATCGAAAAGATTAGCCTCACGGCGCTGCCCGAGCAAAATTTGAAGTTAAAAATCTACCCAAAGCATTTCAGGATTCTCGCCGATGCAAAAGAGTTTGTGCACTGCGCTGAGATTCTTCAGACTCAGGCTTGAGTTAGAAGTAGAACGGAGCACTTATGGTTTACTACCCGAGTGCCATGATGTTGATCCGTGGAATAAACATCAACATTAACAAGTATGAAAATAAAAGTTTCCCAATAGCAGTTACTGTAACTGGGATGCAAAGTATTAGGTCTTCATGAATTCTAAGCCCTGACATGCAAGATGGAGCTGCTTGACAAGCCAGATGTCATAAGGGTCGTGAGTTAACAGTGTGAAGGCACTAACAGATCATCATAGTCTGGAGATGATGGTTCATGTGCAGAGTGACCTGGGGATCTGGCCGATGTTCGGAACACTCAGGAAAGGGGCGAGAGGGATATACATTCAGACTGTTTCTGGTACTATCAGAACTGGAACTCTGTACTTGCTGCTGAAGATGGGGACAGAGCACTTGTAGAAATGTCCCAAATGCTATGATGTCAGTTCTTAACTCATAATTCATGAGTGGCCAATTCCATTTCTCATTATCTTTCTATCCCAGACAATTCTCATCATTTTCCTCAGGCATTTGTATAAAAACGTATATGAAATGTTTTCCCCTACATAACAGATTTTCGTTTATTTATATTTTTGCTCCATAGAGTAAAGGTGGCAGATGTGATGTTGATTATATTTTTACAAAATATTTCTTTGATTTTTTATATTATTTGGGGGTTTAGGAAAAACTGATATTTAAAAATTGTGGATTTACTTTGATGTCAAATAGTTTCAATATTACTTAATAATGTTCTCTGTGGTAAAGAGACAAAAACTACTTTTAAATGCTCAAAAGGAAGAAACTCAATATCTGCTTTATTTGCATTTAATGATTACTTTCCTGTGGAAATAAACCTTTCCTTGATTTAGACAATTGTTTCCTGAACTGTTTTTAAAAGCCACGTGACATTTTTAAAGAAGCAGAAAATTCCACACCTGCCTCTCTTGTTGGTGGTATAAAAGTTCGACACCTGGATTATTAAAAAAACTAACCAAAAAACTCAAAATTTCTTCTACTTCTTCTAGTTTCAGAGAATTATAAGGTCTAGTTTTCATTTTAAAATTTTTTTAAAAAGGGTCATTTTTGTATATTCTTACAGGGTGACAGAATTTGAGGACAAGAGGACTGACATGATAACACTGGGGTTTAGCCCATATTGCCCAGTCTTTCTCTGCTGACTGGCTAGTTGCTTTTTTCGAGAGTGCACACAAAGCGCAAAGTCAGTAGCTTCAGCAAGAATCCCTGAGAATCTTCATAAAAATAATGCAGTGACAAACTGACAGCCTTATGGGATAGAAACACAGTGCAGTGAAGCTGCTCCTTTCGCCTTTAAATACTGTTTGTAAATTATGTCTTCGACAGGCAAATCTTCTACCGCTGACTCCCAAAGACTGTAGTGGTTGTTGACTCCCTCTGTCTTTCCAGATAATAGTGCTATATTTTCTATACGTACGTAATGAAGCCCTAAGCTAATTAAAGTCCTGAGGCCTAAACCATTTTAAATCAAACAAGCTAATCAAAGAAAACTGTAAAATGTATATGCCTTTTAAATGCTTGGATACAGGAAACATACAGTTTTTCTATTTTTATTCAAAGAAATAATAATTAATGCATTTGCAAAAATCACAAAAATTATTTTATATAATCCTCTGGTGACAAATTTTTAAAATGTATTTAAAGGAAATTGTATTTAAAATCTATTAAAAGAAAACCGCACTTCAGGAAAAACAATTTGCGGAGGCCCCTACAGATTATGTGGTCCTAAGATATAGCTTGCTTAGCTGATACCAGCTCCAGCACTAGCTATACTGCTGTTGTTGTTGTCTGTGTTCACCAGCTGCAAACCTCAGCGGAAGGAAAGACATGGTCGTTCATCTATTCCTGGACTTTGCCATTGTTCCAGACAATGAGTTGTGCCTGTGCATCCATTTTACAGCTCTTGTTTTTCTGTATGCAGACTTTTGGTTCCTTGCTTCTCAGGAAGATAATCTACAACTTTAAAGAAAGCTCCCCAATTAGTCAACTCTTATTATATGCATGTTGGGGGGGGGGGGCCAGTATGTGTATTCTTGTTTTCCCCACAATTGGACCCCAGAACCCACACAGGGAACTAGCCATACAGTTCTGTGGGGAGGCACACACACAAATCAAGCCCCCTGTGATAGGAAATTAGGGCCAGAGATGAAGTTCCTCCTCTCTACATCACAAAGCCTGGGCAGTACTGTGGGGAACATGGGTTACCGATGCAGCGTGATCCGTCTCTCGACCTGCCTTGTTTACTTAAAAGAAAGGTAACACTGAAACGCTTGGAATAAAGCATGATGCAGAAGCTGCTGGATCAAAAGAGCAGCGCATGCTTTATCCGTCCACCTGTTAGAAACATCTTAGGCTAGCTTCCAGCTAAGGCTAAAGACCTGGTTTGACCTGCCATAAAATTAAGTTTTCAGGTTGCATTTTGGTGAAGAAATTTTATAATACACAATGTGACCATTAGTATAACATGAGTTAGTTTTGGCACCTACCATGTTTCCTCAGGGAACTCCTGTCTGCGGATCCATTTGTGTTGCTGCTTCCACAGTTGTGAAATAACATACTGAAAGTTAAAAGAAATGAGTTTACATGCTTACATCTTTGGAAATTTGTCTTCTTCTCCATATGGTTACATTTAAGTATAATGTTATCTTAACTGCCAACTGCCTGTATTTATCACTTCTGCAGTGTAGGCAAAGGATATATGAGCCTGAGGATTTAGGGCCGTATAGCTAATGCGGTCGCCATGGACTGTGTGCAGATCATGATTTTATGTGTGCCCCTGAGAGAAAAAATAAATATTGCCAACCTAACTCAGTATTTGAAACTGGGTTTCCAATATAAAGGCCTTACCTTCTTAACTATCTGACCCTCAGGACAGGACATAATGACCTTATCAAACATATGCACAGGCTTTGTCTGAGTAATTCCCCTCTCTGCCCGTGTGGGCTGTGTAGGTAAACTACACAACACTTCCAAAAATGCCTCTTTTAAAGCTCATTAAGAAGGGAATACTGGCCCACTGAGTCAACACTGCACTCAGTTGTATGGAGCTAAAAGGAAACCTCTAAAATCAGGCAAGTTTATCACAGGAATGTGCCTGTCAGTGTAAATAAGAAAGTGATCACGATCACAAGAGGAAGAAAATAATTGTTTAACCAATCTCTCCTCTTAAATTAATATTCTTAGTAAACTGTCTTTACTAGAAATCACAGAGGCACATAAATAAAGGCAGCAGGAAAGAGCTAGAAAGTGAAGTTCAAACGACAAAGAGAATGTGGAGTGAGTTGCATGTGATAGCAAAGGATAGGACAACTTGGTGTGAGTTGATTGACGGCCTAGGCTCCATTTTGGGAAACAGGGCAGAAGAAGTAGAAGGAAAAACAATCCAATGAGGCACTTTAATTCCAACAATTTCCACAAAAATATTTCTTCAAATGGAGTAATATTTTGTCAGTATCTACTCTGTGTGGCTAGCTGTCGCAGTTTAAAAGACGACAGCTTAGCTAGTAAGCTTGGTAGACTCTAATAAGAAGTGTTAGGCTGTCAGTCCCCGCTTCAAAGAAGAATTTCCCTCTCCCCCAACAAGAATGTCCTAAAAGGTGACTTATCAGGTTGGTTTTTTTAATTTTTTTTAATATGGAGTGCAACTGCCTGATAGGTGAGGTGCAAATAGTCTGCACACAAAAAAAGCCAGATCTGTTTAAAAAAATTTGCACACACACAAAAAAAAAACAGTTCTGGAAGACAACTTCTATTATGAGTGAATGAACAGCCAGAACTTTCCACCAGAGTTTACAGCCGGCGAATGCTGAGAAAAAAAAAAGAGCAGAACAGTACCTTGCAGTGTCAAAGTGAACTTAAACTGTTGGAAAGCGCAAGCTATTTTGCCTCGTATTCCCATTTAAGGTTTCCCAGTGTTTCTGTTTAATCTCTCTGTCCATCATCTGCATGGATAGCATCTCTTTCAGTTCCCATTCGGTCTGCCCACGATCTGCATCTCTTTCAGTTTCCATTTGGTCTGCCCACGATCTGCATCTCTTTCAGTTCCCATTTGGTCTGCCCACGATCTGCATCTCTTTCAGTTCCCATTTGGTCTGCCCACGATCTGCATCTCTTTCAGTTTCCATTTGGTCTGTCCATGATCTGCATCTCTTTCAGTTCCCATTTGGTCTATGATCTGCATGGGCGACATCTCTTTCAGTTCCCATTTGGTCTGCCCACGATCTGCATGGGCGGCATCACTTTCAGTTCTCATTTGGTCTGTCAACGATCTGCATGGGTGGCATCTCTTTCAGTTCCCACTTAATCTGTTCATCACCGCTCACTGTGACCCTACTGAAACTGTCTGTGGCAGCCAAGTTAAACGGCCGAACCAATTCACCTTTTGTTTTTTTTTTAAAGAAATATAGCATTATGACTATCCCTACTATCCCTACTGCATTTTGCATTTAACAGTCATAGTAAATTTGTATAATCACTACAGGAAGGAGGTGTCTGACTTAAATTCCCAACAATAAATTATGCACTATATCTCATGTAATCATTCTCTTAAACTAAACAGTTTCATAATTTCAACATCCCAGGTTCGATTCAGCCGAATGTGATTTAGAAGCAGACACTTTGATTAGCATGGACTTTACAGTGAGCAATAGAAAAATACTGAATGTAAAATTGTATAATAAAACTTTAAACAGCCAAAACTAAACAAGGGTTGATTTGACAATTTCTTCTTGAAATCCTTATTGGTTTAGACAGTGACTGCTTGTAAAATCCGACCTCCTTGAAATATAGAAAAATCTTTGTGTTTTAGATTTCCAATTTGTACATGTGAGTTTCTGGGGGGGGGGGGGGGGGGGGGGGGGGGGGGGGGGGGGTAGGAGACGGGGAGTAAACATCAGTCTTTCTTTCTCCTCATAATCACTAGAATGAAAGGTACAAAATACAGACAATGTTCGATTATTTGCAATTATTGGTTGTCATGTTATATGTGTATTAGTTCATGTTCTGACAGCCCTTCAGGCCATGACAAAAGCTGTCAAGAATGTTCTCTTGCTGTCACTCTCTCTCTCTCTTTCCAGAAATTCATCCGTTAGTCGCAATAGATCCCATTTCAAAATATAACCAAAAATGATGCTTGTCTATTTCTGATTTTTCTGACAAGTTATCCAGTGATCCTTGCCTCTGTGAAAACATCTGGATTGCTAATTTTGGCTGTCCAAGGAATTGTAAACATTTTCCTGTACCACATTTCTGAGGCAAGACTAATGAAGAATAAATAAAATAAAGGGTACACTAAAACATGGACATGACTTTAACCTTTTTAACTTAACTTTAATCTTTTTAAACTTCATATGGACATGATGTGAGCCAAGACAACACTCCTGGTTTTGGAATGAAAGCTTAGGCTACTCTAACTTCTCTTAAGAGTGTGACATACTGAGAGGATGTCAGATGACAGAGAGGTTAAAAAAGTTAAACACAAGGGAGTTAAATGGCCGCAGGATAACGTAAAAACTATACAGTATACAAGAAAGAGAATAGGAGCTTTTGAGCTGAAATGCTATAGAAAGATTCTCAAAGAAGAGGAAACAGGATATAAGTGACTCCTTGAGTATGAAGGCACATGAGGCAGGAGAGCTGGCGAGAGACCGAGTTTCTTTCAGGCAGACTGTGAAGAAAGTGACGTTCTGCAAAGGACTTGCTACATGATGAATACATACAAGGAATGAAGAAGGATGTTATACACGTAAAGTAAAGTAAAGGACCTTTTTCCATGCCTTCAGACACATTGTGCAAGACCAATACTTTATTTATAGACTGAACAGAGCTTGGTGTGTGATGTAGACTACATCAAGCAATCACCTTTACTTCCCAGGACTTTACCAGGTACCAATTTTTAGCTGGGTGGACCTGTCAGATAAGGTGATTTTTAGAAAAATTCAGCTCAGTGCAGATTTGAACCTACAACTTTCACAGCTTAGGCGACCTTCTAGTCATGACATCAAGGCAGCTGTATTTTATATATGGAATTACCAATCAACAAACAACAAGTTGCTTGGCAAATAAATAAGTAAATTAAAGAGCCTTTTTATGCTAGTGGCTCATAACCGAGCAGACATGCAAGCCTACTAAGTAATGCATTATTGTGCCTCTAAGACACTAAAAAGATGGATTTGCCATATTTAGAGTCAATATTTTGCGCAAAGTTAATTTTTTTTTTTATAGGAAGGGAAGTAATCCACAAATACAAACAGAGCAAAGAAATAACTGCTTTCATTCCTTTTGACCAAGAAAAAAGAAATTTTGTTGCCACAGCCATTCAGAGAATAGTGATATCATAAGTTCATTATACATTGCAATGACCTACAATCAATAAAAAAAAAACTAATTGTTTTCCATCCTAATTAATATCTTAACATTGGGGGAGAGGTGGAGGGTGGGTGGGGAAGGGGTCTAAGGGTAAATAATTCATACCCACTACATCTACATACTGTGCAGCTACAACCAGAAACAATGCTGTTATACATGTGTATTGGCACTGCCTAAAGAGGTCATCATAAAACCCATAAAAGTTTGAAAACTGGCTTTCTAACAGCAACAGGATTAATTACAAAAGTCTAAGTGGTAATGGGCTGGGAAAGGAACAGTTATGCAATACATAAAATGTCATCACAAATGTACTCTATAACTCTGATAAGTCAATAAATACCTTATTCTTCTCTCCATGGCCTCCTCCTCCTGCTTGAGATAATTAGATAAGACATTCTGAAGGTCCACTAACTGCTTCTGCAGAGCATCATAGCTTTGTGGCTGAACACCACCTGTGTGGGATTTAGCATATACATTTTCATATAAGGTTAATTGCGTATCCTTACAGGACGTTGCAGAACCAACCCCAGCAGCCCCTGGCTGTTGTGTGGTTTCTCGAGGAAAATTTACATCTAGCAGTTTGCCATTACTTTCTGGACAGTCGGCCCCCTGATACCACTGTCCAAAACCGACACAAGGCCCATGGCCCGTAGCTTGGATCGAAACCGGCACCCTGGCATTATGAAGCGTTTGCATCGACTTAGCTACATTTTCATATACACGTATAAAATTTGGTCATTCAGAAAGTTAAGGTCATGTCATATAGCACAGATATTTAGAATTGAATACCGTTTTAGATTTAAATAAAGTGCAGTTTAAATACATAATTTAAAACTATTAGATTTACCTCAAGCACAATTTAAATTTAGAAATTCTTCTCTTTTACCATTTACAGGCTGTAAAATTCAGTGGGAAGTTCTGACTGTTTGTCCAATTCTGGACTTCAGTCTCACTTAAGTTTCTAGATGCATTGGTTTTACAGATCTGGTTAATTTGTATGCAGACTGTTTGTTCCTAGCCTTTCAGGTAGATCTGCTCCGACTTTGGATGAAAAAATGCTTAATTAGTCATCTTTTACAACATGCATGTTGGGGAGGCAGATGTTCTATCCCCCTAGGAATATAGAAAAAAAAAAACAGTGTGTTTGAGATGTCTTAGAAGAGTGCATAGCAACAAGGAGAAAAATTTAAAAATTAAAACATTTTAAAAAGATTATAACTGAAACTTTGCAGCTCCGTGGCTTACAAGATAGTGAAAGATAATGCAGTCCTTAAGTTTACCAGGGTTTTGATTCCTGCGTTGGACGGTCTAGATAATTTCAATTTTTGTAAATTTCACTGCTGCAAACTTACACTGTGAGATGGCATAACTTATTTTTGATTGAACTAAAATAAGTAACCCTATTCATTAATGAACAACAGATGACAAGAGTGTCCTAGTTCCAACTACCTCAGAGAGTCAGGCTGAAGGAAAATAATGAACAAAGCAGTGGTGTAGGAAGAGGGGTGCAGTCCACCCTGGGTGTCATCACTGAGGTGGGGGGGGGGGGGGGGGGGGGGGGGGCTGATAAAATGGCAAAATTTGCTTTTAATATGAATAAATAAATGTGTGTTTGTGAATGTGGGGAGGGGTACGCAATGATATGCCAATGATAAGAAGTAGGAGGAGGTAAGAGGAAAGCTTTAAAAAAAGAAAAAAAGTGACATGAAAACGAAAAGGACCAGCATCTGTGCACAGCCATGAATGCTTATACCACCTGGCACGGTATATGATAATTTTGAAATAAAGTAAAAAACATACCGGCATTTCTCTGTTTTTCATCTCTGTCACGCAGTAGAATATTAAACACTGGAGAGAAGTCTGCATCTTTCTTAATCCTCTCTATGGCTTCTTCACCTTTCTGTGAAAACACAAATCTTAGTTTTAAAAACTAAATACAACTTCTCGTTCATGTTTGCAGTCACTTTTTCTCACTAGTTGTCCAACCCCAGATGGCTTCATGTTGCAGACTGGTTCTATTCTTAGTTAGTTAGTCAAGGTTCCAACATTACTGGCAGTGGGTCACTCCATGAACAGTTCCATTCCCGTGCCAATGGAAATCACACAGAATGTCCTTCAATGTTCCGTTTATAATCTAGTGAAAAACCTGCCAGTCCCGGCAAAATCTTGAAGCTGTACATGCAACAACAACAAAAAAATGCATAAGGCAACTATAACATCTGCCACCAATAATGCGCCCAAACCAGAATTTCAGCTCACTGTTGGTACCACAGGGAAAATAAAATTCTGCATGAAATCCACAGCTCATAGTGCCTCACCAAACACAGTAGCCGAGTGATGGAACCTTTGTGCTCTCAGTCCATAAATGGGGAATTTGCATCAGCAAAAGCTAGATGTAAACAAATAATGTCAGCAGCCAGCCAGCTATTGGCCTGTCTTGATAACTTTCAATCATGTTTCTTTTAACTCTTTCTGTACCAAGCAAATGATCATACATTTAGTGATTATGTCATATATTGTACAAATACAATTCGAAGAAAAACGAGAAGACTATCACTAAAAAGGCATTAAAATCAGAAATAAAAAGATTGAGGAAGAAATAACATCCTAAAAAAAACACTAAAAGCTGGACTGGATTCCATCTGTGATATGGAAGGTACTGTTCGGGATAAGAGGGAATGGAGAAATAGACTGCAAGCTGCATGTGACATATAACGGCACAACAGGACAATGGTGATAAATACTACATAATGTATAAATATATGTAAGCTAACTTCTTCTGACCAGACGAACACACTGGGGAAAATACAAGCCCTTTCCTAGGAATAAATGCAACTTAAAAACCTAATGTTATAGTAGGCAGACCAGGTCCTTAGCACTGGTTGGTTGCTGGTCTAGGATGGAAGCTCTGACCAGCAGACACCACTGCCCCTCTGACAACCTTTGCAACCTGCTTTATTCCAAATATTATTGGTATTACCTTTCATTTGAGTAAACAAAGCAGGCCGTGGGAGGGAACATGTTGTATGGACAACATGTGGTCTCTACAATGATTGCCCAGGCTTTGAGCTAGGTAGAGGAGGAACTTCATACCAGGCTTTAATTGTTCTTTGAATCAGATGGTGCCAGAGGCAGCCTCTGACTGTGGAAGACATTTCTGTATATCGCTGGTCAGCTACCGCCCACCTAAGGTCGGGCAACACCTAGTCAATGAATTGTTGATACACCACAGTCTGTGTGCTTCAATGTGTACTTGGAGTGGGAACAAAACCTGTATGGCGGGCTGTAAACACTAGTATGCCCCAAGAAACACTGAAATATTAAACTTCGGCTTCCAGTCTGAAATTTCAGGACCATGTGTCCAGGACTTTCCACTGATCTTGAAAATAAAAATATAAATTATGCAAGAGAAGTCGCTGTCATTAATGCCAAAATCAAGAAACTTGGTTTAGATATGGCTGGTCGAGTTCTCTTTGAACTGAAAAAATAAAAAGCTAGAAAGATTCAGCAAAGGATGGCTAGATACTGTAAAAATAGCTACTATAGAGTGACAGAATTTATAATGCTAGCAAAAAAAAAGCAGATGCATGGATGTGTAGAACAGTATGTAGATCTTTACTCAATCGAGACAAAACTAACAGATGGTGCTCATGGCTACTTGAACATATTTCCAAAAATCGCAGAAGCTTCTCTTGAAGAACTTACTTCTGGCTCCAGACAAAGACATAATTCCTCTACAGGTCATTAAGAGTAGAGCAGATGCTCCCAAATTCACCTACTAATAACACTATGCTGATGCGAAGGACAGATTCCACTTGACTTCAAAGATCACAATAATTGTACAAGAACAAGGAGTGACCACAACTGTAGGGAAATATCTTTTTTGTGTACTGTTGGAAAAGGTCATGCCAAAATTGTTCGGTAAAGAGTCCAGATCCTAGAAAACCAGGTTTACACAGAATACATTCTGGTTCTGGGGGAATCAGTTTACTACTAATTTGATATCTTCTAACTAAATCAAAAACTGTATGTTGCTCTGACTTTACCAAGGCATTTGATTTAGTTAGTCTTGAAAGTCTGTTCAGACTTTATGTCAAGGTAAGGTACCCTTCTGAGCATCATTGAGTCATTTCACACAGGCATGAGGCAGCTCAGTAAATTCTGATGATGTATCACCAGAGGAGTTTGCATTAAAGATTAGAGTAAAGCAAGACTGTTTCTGCTGCTACCCTCTTTGGGACATTCTCCTCCCTTATTTAAAAAAAAAATAGATCAAGAGGATGGTATGTTCATCCATTCTCGCTCAGAAGATCACCTTTACAATGCTCATAGCCTGAAAGCCAAGACCTATATTAGGACCGTACCCATCAGACAGTTGCTTTATGCAGATGCTGCAATTACAACCCACTTAGATGGATTAATGCAACATTTACTATAGTTTCTGCATTCGCTGATGCTTGTTGTGGATTTGGACTTTAAAACTAACAAAAAGAAGACCAAGATGATGCAGCAAGGTTTTACTAATAAACTTGCAATCACTAATGACGAATAAGAGTTACAGACAGCTGATCAGTTTACATATCAAGGATCTTTAGTCATTAACAAATTTTCACTGATCCAAGAGTTCAATATCAGGAAAGGTTTAGGCAGCAACAGCAATGAGCAGATTAACACAGTATATAGAACACAAAGGTCATGGTTAGAACACAAAACCTGTATTTTATCAAGCATGTATCTCCTCTGTACAGCAGTGAAACTTGGTAAACTTACCAGGGGCTAAATAGCTTTCATATGCATTGTCTTTAAAGAATATATGCATTAGGTGGCAAGACTACAAACACTAAGGTAATGAGAACAGCAGGTACCACAAGAGTTTTTACCCTTCTTACTCTTAGAAGGCCCAGGTAGTTAGAACACACCAAGATGATGGTAGTCCTAACGACATCCTCTATTGTCAGATGTACAGAAGATACCACGGCTGGTCTCTACTGCAATTTAAAGATGTGTGCAAGCAGGACATGAAGGATACAGATACTGAGGTGGATTCATAGGAAGAATATGCCATGGACTGCACTGTATGGCAGATGTTTACACTTGGCTACCACGATCAAAACTTTGGACGCTCACCTTTATGTTAAAATAATTATTGTTGGGATGAATCTGGTTGCAGCATTTTGCTAATTCATTTCTCTATATTATTTTAAGGAAACAACTTCTCAGTGCTCACATTAAGTTTTTGATGAATATTCATTGTGAGCTCCCATGCCACCGACACTGATGAAATTTTCCTCATGGCGACAAATTCTTGAAGGGATTGTGGTGGTCACATTTATCATTTTTCTGTTGCTGCTTTGGAAAGTGAAAATATTACTGAACAGCTTCAAAGTCAAGTCTAAGACCTCACTGGCAATTTCTGATTCTGATAGTTCAAGTATTCATTCAGACTGTAGTTTTTGAAGATATTGTGCCTGAGCCTGCATATGATGAAGATATCATTGCCCCTTTTGAGGCAGAATCAACATTATCTGCCCTATTGGCTGATGTGTGGCACTTTAATATGTAAGGCTTTCCTGAAGTACCCCCATTTACTGGCACTTCTGGTTTATTTCTGCCAGGGGGGAACAAAAAAGCCACTGGAAATTTTCTTCAGTAAAGAAATTCTTGCCGTGTTTGTTAAATTATTTCAGCAAACAGAGCAGCAACCCCCTGTACTCCCAAATAAAGTTTACGGTCCTTGAAGCGTCTGACACACTTTCCCTCCCCAATTTCACTAACAGCTTCAAACTCAAAACCCAGAAAAAAGGGCAGAGAAAAAGATAAATGTAGAAACCAAGAAAATAAAATAGGTTACAAAGGAACGATGACAAGTTACTGGCGCAGGAAATGTCAGGTGACACTTTGTAATGAACAATGCTACGAACTGTACCATAACCACTGACAAATTTTGGCTGTAAAATTTGATATGAGTGGTATTTATGCTTATTTTTTGTTGGACTAATATTGAATTGCATATCATTTTCTAAACTGATAAACCAAATAACTAATATCAGGTTTTATATGTCATACAATTGTGTCTATGTTTTTTTTTTTGCACTATATCTACAGCCACATGATGTCAAACAAACTAAACCTAATGATTTCTTGACATCTGTTATCCATTCAATTTGGTACAAAAAACAAACAATGATAAGCGTGTGCTGAATAGTTGTAAAGCTATGACTTTTTGTTGTCTTTACTGTTGTTAGAAAAAAAAAGATTTTGGGCTACCTTTTTTGTACCAATCTACAGGCATGTGATGATGATATCAAACCCAATTCTTTCTTGAAATGTGTTCTCAATTCAATTTTGCAAAAATACAAAATATGTATGATAAGTGTATGTTAAATAACAGTGAAGCTATGGCATTTTTAGTGCACAATAAAATATATGGGATCTGGGAAAGTGCAAGGGTTAATGGGCTTGGTAAATGTGGGTTAAAAACTTAGGCATAAGTAGTCAATAAAAGGTCTTTTCATTGGTTAAGCATCACTTCCATAGGCTGAGCTCAATGAGCAGGTCATAAAAGGTGACCAATGAGAGGTGTTTTGTTCAAAGCTGAAGTGCATCAGCTTCACTAGGAACCAACAGTCTGCATACAAATAAGCCAGATCTGTAAAACTGATCTGTATGCAAACTTAAGTTCAGAAGTAGACAAACAAACAAAACTTTCACAGCCGGTGGATGCTAAGAAAAAGAAGTAAAAGAAAATAGCTCTGACTCTGACTTAAGGGAGCTGTGGTGGTGCAGTGGTTAGCACCTTTACTGGCCTGGTGGTCTTGTATTCATATCTATTTAAAATCGATTTCGAAAATTGATCTCAGTCCCCAGCTTTATATTGATATCGAGAAATAAACCGTGAAG